GTCCACCTTGTGCTTTCACAATAATATTAACATGCAGTGTGCGGAACTCGTGGGTGAGTGGTTTTTACAGTAAAGCGCTTGGAGCACATACTTGACGGCAAGCGTTGTGCATGCATCCTTTAATGATGTCTGGTGCAAGGGTTGTGTGATTTATGAACTTTGAACGTAGCGGTGAGTGGTGTATGTCATGTTGTGTAGGTGCATGCTGCATGCACTGTGAGTGGTGAGTGTGTGACGTGAGTGGTGAGTGTGGTATTGTGTAGGTGCGTGCTGCACACAGTGTGACTGGTGAGTGTGTGACGTGAGTGGCGAGTGTGGTATTGTGTAGGTGCGTGCTGCACACAGTGTGACTGGTGAGTGTGTGACGTGAGTGGCGAGTGTGGTATTGTGTAGGTGCGTGCTGCACACAGTGTGGCTGGTGAGTGTGTGACGTGAGTGACGAGTGTGGTATTGTGTAGGTGCGTGCTGCACACAGTGTGGCTGGTGAGTGTGTGACGTGAGTGGCGAGTGTGGTATTGTGTAGGTGCGTGCTGCACACAGTGTGGCTGGTGAGTGTGTGACGTGAGTGGCGAGTGTGGTATTGTGTAGGTGCGTGCTGCACACAGTGTGGCTGGTGAGTGTGTGACGTGAGTGGCGAGTGTGGTATTGTGTAGGTGCGTGCTGCACACAGTGTGACTGGTGAGTGTGTGACGTGAGTGGCGAGTGTGGTATTGTTTAGGTGCGTGCTGCACACACTGTGACTGGTGAGTGTGTGACGTGCGGCGCGTGCCGTGTGGGACAGCGTTGTCTAAGAACCTGGAGGAGGCGGTGGCGCGGAGTGGCTTGGTGACGGCGCAGGCCGTCGGGGCCCAGGACGCTGCTACCGCTGCCATAGGCACATACATCAGCTGCCTCCGGCACGCCATGGAGGACGAGGCGGTACGCAGCAGCCACCACTCGCACGCACACGCACGCACAGCTCATACCTGTCACGCACACACACACCCAGAGCCCACACCCATCATGTACACCACACTGAAATCTGCATGACAGAAGGGAGATCTATTACCCACATTGCAGTGGGTTTACACTCTAGCAATCGCATGGCGAGAGGGGCTGCAACACGAATGCGGCGTTGCTGGTTGCAGATGTCGCCTGAAGAGAAGACGGAGCAGTGGCAGAGCGTGCGGGAGGCGCTGGCGGCCAGAGACCGCGCCGTCCACGAAGCGTCGCAAGCCCAGCGCGTGGCTCAGTGAGTACCGGCGCCGTGCGTCGTGGACGCCCGTGAATAGCGTAACGCCATTGCCCAGAGTAGCCTCGCCGAGTCTCAAGACCGCTTCAGGAGGGTCCCGCGTCGAGACGCTTGGTCGATTGTACTCCAAGTCTGACTTCTGTGCTTGTTTCTTCTCCACCCCAACGATAACGCGATTATCAGGGGCTGGGGGCCGTTGCCACTGAAACCAACTGGGTAACTGGCCAAACAGGATTTTCCTCATAACAAATAAACGTTGAATTTAAACGCCAGAAAAAGAAAAAGTTGGGAAGGCGTTGTGACCGTTTGTGACGACGTGCCGTGCCGCGAATGCCGCCAGGGAGGAGGTGGTGAAGCTGCAGGGGCTGGTGGAGGAGGCACGCGGCACGGCCGCGCCTGCGGCCGCCCCCCGTCTGCAGGCCGCCGGCTCCAGCGTGCGCCGCATGCTGTCTGAGCTGCAGGGAGGCTCCAGCAGGGTGAGCTCCGCCAACGGCGGCACGATGTGGGTCGCGTGCGGGCCACGCTCCGGCACGAGCGGGCGTACGGTCGCGTGAGATCTCCGTCCCACGTCGGCGGAACCTGCTTTGGTGAACTGCCGCCTCCACGGTGCCGTGATCCAGCGCCGCGGAGGCAGCAGCGAGGGTTGGTGGATCACCGCACGAATGTTGTGAAACTCCCTTCCCGTGGGCGACGAGGAATTCCCTGGTCTGCCAGGAGAGGGCGGTACAGCGACAATGAGGGCTCTACCTATTCCGTCTGAATGGGATCGTGTTTCCCCTTGGCGTGCGCGTGTGTAAATGCTTTCATTAGCGTGGGTTAATGAAAGAGTGTTTCGTGCGCAATCACGTGCCGCCCCGTGCGAACATTCGTGCGTCGTTTGCCCCCCCACCCGGCCCCCCCGTGCCGCCTGCCCTCAGGTGGAAGCGGCGCAGACAGAAGCGCGCCTCGTGTCCCAGTACCAGGAGATGGCAGAACGTGCAAAGGAGGAGTTCCGGCAAGAACTGGAGAGCATCGTACCCGGCTGGCAGGGCAGAGGTGAGCAACGTTTTGGCTGCATCGTACAAACGAAGCATGCGAAGACGAGCGGTAATTGATTGCGGAGTTCATTGAAGAAGGCTGTGATGAATGAAATGTACGGGCCTTGACATTTAAATTACAAGGAAATGTGTTGGGCTGCCGCAGTTGCGGGATGTTAACTCCCTAGCCTGGTTTGCAGGAGGTAGTGTGTTTGATCCTGACCCTGGCGCCTGCATATTTGGAATTTGCATGTTCTCCCGGTTTTTTCCTCCACATTCAGAAACATGCGTTTAGAGTATTTTGCGATAAATGTCCACATGTTAAGCCACTTCATTGAGCTATCATTTGTGGCCAGGTTGCTTCTGAAAAATAGCTACATAGCTCAGTGGGCCTTACCTGGTAAAATTTTAATACATTTTGCTTAAATAGCATAGTTTAAATACGAATAATGTTATTGCAGTGCAACTGAATAAGATGAAAAGGTAACTTGTAAGCGTCGCTCGTGAGCGTCGACATGTCCCACGTGATGCGCTCGGCCTCCCAGGCGACCTGAACAAGGAGGAGCTGAACGCGCTGCTGCTGCACGCGCACCGGCGCACAGAGCAGCTGCGCCGCGAGCTGGCGGAGCGCCAGGCCCTGGAGGAGCACCGCCTGGTCCTGGCACGGGAGCAGCAGCGCACGGTCGACCAGCGCGGCCTGGAGGAGGCGCTGGCCACCGCCCTGCACCAGCAGCGCCAGGAGCTCGTGGTGGCGCAGCAGCGCAAGGTGCGTCGCCGGTGCACCGTGCTGGCGAGCGTTCCCCGCTCACCACGCGACGGTGCGCGAGCTGCCTTCCCCCGAGACCCTGCAAATGGTTCAAGACGACGTCATTTTTTAAATCTTGTTTTTACCGCATTGTTTAATGCCTGATTTATTCGTCTTTGTCGTCTGGTTCGTACTGTTAAATTTAACGTTCATGTATAATTTGCATAAGTAATGCATTCTTAGTCACGATTTGATTTGTGTATCGTGCGTGAATTTACATTGGAGCACATTCACTCGCACGCACTGCCTCAAGCGCTGGCAACACGCCAATCACTAACGCCTGCATTTAAAACGTAAAAACGTTCCTATTAACAAAGCTTTAAACCCATCATGAACAGACCGGGGTATGTAACTAAATACTGGCTCGTGTTTCGACTTGCATGTGTAAGTGATAACTCTTAAAAGTTTCATATCGAGCAATACTTGATGTAATGTCGCTTAGTTTCTTTACACTTGTGAAACGTGCAATTTATTATGTAAGAACTGTTAGTTAATCACTGTTAAACTTGCGCCAGTGGGTCAATATATTAACCAGGTAAGAGGCGTTATAAGCCAAAGATTGTGCAGACAAATGAAGGCTCTTTGTGTGTGTACACACCGGCATGTTGTCCAAGTGTTCGCATTGACCTCATAGGAGACATTTTTTTACCTTTGTGTTCATACGAGTGCGCACGGCTATGCTGACATTGCATGCCTGAAATATCTCTGCGTGCTGCACGTAATTGCGTACGGTAGTGAGCGTGTGCCTGTGCAATATACCCGCGTGTCTGTGCGCGCCCGTGTGTCCGCCCGTCCACCTGCTGGCTTCCTCGGCATGACAGATAGAGGAGCTCAAGGATGCAATGGAGATGGAGATGCGCACCCAGCTGCGCCGTGCCACGGCCGCTCACTCGGACCACCTGCAGGAGGCACTGAAGCTGCAGGCGTTTGAGCTGGGAAACTCTCACAAGAAGGTAAGTGCGCCCCCCCTCCGATCTCCCATCTCTCACGCTGCCTAGCGTGGCCACGGCTTCAGCGGCGTAAACGGCACCCGTTCCCACCTCTGCGAACTCAGACGTGCTTTTCCCCTCCTAGGAATTGACAGACAAGATGGTGGAGCAGGACCTCATGTTCCGGCGTGAAATTCTGGATCAGCGCGACTCTTTCACTCAAGACATAAACAAAGCGTTTGCACAAGTGCACGGGATCCGTAATGCTGTTGACGGTGCGCACGCACGCACGCATGCACGCACGCATGCACACAGAACAAGCATGTTGTGTAGAACACGCGTGTAATACAGACGGCCACATTCAGCTTCTCTAAACGCTCATCAGTAACACAGTCATCAGCAAAGGACACTGCTTGAGCAGGAATCGCAACGAAAAATATTTTAACACTGAAATATGATGGTATGTTTTTCAAACCATTGTGAAAATGTCTTGCATTTAGATTGTTTCCCTTTAGAGGCTGCGCACCTGTGAGCACATGTAGGTACGTGTCGCCACGTGTGCACTGGGCGTGTTTGCAAAGCGAATGGCTCTGCGCGCCCCTGCGTCCGCAGGCCTGGCCGAGCGCGAGGAGATCGCCAAGAAGGCCCACTCGCTGTGGCTCGCTGGGGAGGCCCTCCGCACCGCTCTGGCCGAGGCCGGGCCGGATGGGCCCGACGGGCCGTGTGTGCCGCTGGCCAAGCACGTGGACGCGGCTCGGGCCGTGCTGGCGGAGAGCGAGTTCGCGCAGGTGGTGACGGGCGCAGTCCCGAGCGAGTCCAGGGAGCGCGGCGTGTACTCGTTGGAGGCGCTGCGCCACCGCTTCCGGAGCGTGCGGAGGCTCGCGCGCCGCGTCGCCCTCATCGACGAGACGCGCAACAGCCTCTACCAGTACTTCCTGTCCTACGTGCAGGTGCGTCCGTCTCGGCAAGCCGCCCGCACGCACAGCTCCCAAACCGTGTCCATCCTTGCACGTGACCGGTTGAGGCTTAAACCGTAGGTTTATTCACGTGGTGATCCACCGACACGCTCCGGCTCGGATACAAACTCAACTCGGTCAATGTTCCGGACACCCAGAAACGTAATGTTAATTAACTTCCCCCGCAGGGATATAGTGTGGGGGAACACACCCGTCCCACACGTGACCCGCCCGCCACCATTCCCTAAGTGTCAAGTCGTTTCTGAGCCGGCGCTCAGGAAAAAATGTTCATCCAGGATGTTCGTCCGTAATTGCAAGTAACGTTGGGCTAGGTAGGCCAAATTCATCTTGGGGACGTGCAAAAGCGTCCTGAGAAAATAGCGGTGTTATCGTTAGATCTCAGCAGGTGCACAAATAGCCATTAGGCGCCGTGGGTGAGATGGCCGTGCGTAAGCAGGGTGCAAGCACGGTGGATTACTGCTGAAGCTAAGCGATCCGCACTCATGTTTAGGCTGCCCCAGGTATCAATTCTTACAATGTGCTTGATCATAATTTGTGGTCTAAATGCCAAATGAAGTATAAAGGTCCTCTCTGTTCATTGCCATGAGCATCATGTGCAAGGCATAAGCACTTGTATAAACCATAGCTTTATCATGCATATTCCAATAGACTTTTATTGCAAAATTTCCTACCTTGACTTTGGTTTGTGTCTGCAAGTTTTGGGGAACTCTTTGATAAATTTGGCGTGTTTTCATTCGGGAAAGTTTCTAATAGCAACCCAACTTTATACTCCAGTTTTGTCATTGAATGCTCTTGCGAAGAACTCCAGTGTCTCCCTTATTATGGACGACGAGAGGTAACGTACCACGAGCGGTAACGTACCACGAGCAGTAACGTACCACGAGCGGTAACGGGCGACGAGCGGTAACGTACCACGAGCGGTAACGGGCGACGAGCGGTAACGTACCACGAGCGGTAACGTACCACGAGCGGTAACGTACCACGAGCGGTAACGTACCACGAGAGGTAACGTACCACGAGCGGTAACGTACCACGAGAGGTAACGTACCACGAGCGGTAACGTACCACGAGCGGTAACGTACCACGAGCGGTAACGGGCGACGAGCGGTAACGGGCGACAAGAGGTAACGGGCGACGAGCGGTAACGTACCACGAGCGGTAACGTACCACGAGAGGTAACGTACCACGAGCGGTAACGTACCACGAGAGGTAACGTGCCACGAGCGGTAATGTGCTACGAGCGGTAACGGGCGACGAGCGGTAACGGGCGACAAGAGGTAACGGACGTTTTCAACCTTGGTAAGCGTAAATATAAAGGACTTAAAAAAAAGCAACTGCCAAAATATTTAATGCAACTTCTATAATCATATATGTAAGACATAAATAACACTGTCTCATTATCATAACAGTTTAAAAGAAACAATGACAACAGTGGTGCTTGCAGCAAGTGCGCAGGAAAAGAGTGGTTGTGGTGTGGGGCGTATGTGGAAACCAACGCGCTTCACTGCACGAGCAGTTCAAGTGACATTAACAAGCAATGCAGTTAGCAGTCGCGTCACTAGAACTGAAAACAACTCCTTTTGTTCAAATATCACAATGTAATGAATATACATGGGATATGTAACACGTTCCATTTGTCTTTGGAAACGTTGGGGTAGCAGTGCAAAAGCAAATGGAAGTTATCAGGGCTACAAATAATTGCAGTGTGTACTTTTTGCACCGGCTTTGGTCTTCCAGTTTTGTGTACCCTCTTGATTAATTTGTGCAGTTTTCAGTCGGGTAAGTCCCGAATAGAAGCACCATTTTATACGACTGTTTTGTTCATAGTGGACCATATTTTATGAGTTATCGTACCTTGTTACGGATCGACGGATGGAGGCAATTCATAAAAGCTTTAAACTGTTATTTGGAAAGTGTTACAACATATATGTTTAAGTGGTCACATTCATTTTTTTACATTAAATGTCACAGTTTTTGCAAGTAGGCAATGTGTTGTCAAAATTGTAGGCTCCTTTTGCGTAGATGCCTGTTATCTGTCACAGACATTAATGTGCATTGTGCGTCCCTTTGTGGATGTGTAGTTCCATTCAAGTGTGCGTTTATACAACTCTTGCTTCTGTGTGTGTGTACGTGTGTGTGTGTACGTGTGTGTGCGTACATGTGCGCGTGTGTGTGTACGTTTGTGTGTGTCTGTGTGTGCGCGCGCGCGAAGGCCGCATTGATGTTGGAGCCAGCCACGCTGAAGCCCCCAGCAGAAGGAGTGGCGGTGGAAGAGCTGGGCGACGCGTTCCGCGTGCTGGCTTACGCCGCCTTCTGCCTGGAGCACGGCGACCTGGAGCAGGCGGCGAGGTTCGTGACGGCGCTGCGGGGCGAGGCGCGCCGCGTGGCCGACAGCTGGCTGCACGAGGCGCGCCTCACGCTGGAAACGCGGCAGGCCATCGCGCTGCTCACCGCCCATGCCAGCGCAGTGGGCCTGGCCGCCACGCACGCGCAGCCGTGATGGGCGAGGGCACCGACAACCGTGCGCGTGTACGCTCACGGCCTAGTGTACGCCTAACGGCTTTCAATGTGCGTATGTGGGATGTATATTTTCACACACAGATGCACGCTGTGCACGATGAGCACGATCCCCTAGGGGCTGCAAGTGGTTAGCTCCGACACGGTCATCTCTAAAGAAAAGATAGCACTTCACAAACATTTTGCAAACTTGTGCCACACCACAGTCCACCTTTCCTTCTTTACCAGTCAAGACATCTGAATTACAGATTGTAATTGATATCTGAATTTAGGAGACTGTTAGAGATGGAAAGCTGGTACAAAGGACATGGAATAACTTGTGTACAAAGCAAACCACATGCTCATCTTGCTTTACCAATTTAAATATCTGGACATTTTAAATACCAAAACGCCTGTTAACAACTTAGACTTAAGGATGTTTGCGGCCTTGTAAAAAAGGTTTTTCTGCAGTGTATATGTGGGTACATTTCTTGTCATGAACAAAGTACTGGCCTTAAAATAAGTTGATCCTTTAACAAAAACGTTCCAGTTCACCCTATATCCCTGAACCCAACAACGCATGATAATTTAACATTACATTAGCTTTAATGGATTGATTTGGAACAGTTAAATTTGTTCCTGACATTCTGAATAGCATGAAGAACCTTGTAAATTACAATTTACGATTAAGTTGCTTTGCCTTCTGAAAGTGACACATTGGGAAGCCGCAGTGCTGTCTTGTTAAAATGGTATTTATTGATGCCTTCACTCGTGTCCATTGAGCGCTCACGATATCAATTGAATCGATGTCCCTAACAATAAACTGCAGTTCTTGTCCAAAGGTATCCTTCAAGTTATTGCACGCCCAAGCAACTTTGTGCAGATTTCCGTCCAGATGGAGTGGTTAATATTGAAATCATAAACGTTTAAACTGGTTTGGGGAGACTCATTTTCATGAGGTTTGTATTTCGAGTTCTAATTTAAATGCAATCCTCATATGGACTAAATGCTATTTTGTCAAGTCTTGTATTTCTCCTTGATTTGCTCTCAACAATAAACTGGTCTGTGGTTCACCAACCGAGGTCTTGACGTTTTCTCTTCACAGCTTCTGCTTGTAGGTACTGCAAAGCAAGTTGTATTGCAAGAGTCACATCTTATGGCAAGTCGTAGGTTTTTATAACTTGTGATATTGTTATTCCTTGTGGCAATATTCACCAAGTTAGGTAACCCTATAACCAAAGCTGACATTGCAAGCATTAAGGGACACTAAATTGATGGTGAGGTGTGGTAGCATAATTAGCATTGGCCTTTTGAGCTTGACCTCGAGTGGGTGGAATCCTTCACGACAGATGGGCCTTGTGTGTGGTGGCAGGAGAGGAGGTCCTGCGCAGGGTGCCGCGCGCCGCGTTGTCGCGGACAGGGTCTCCGGTGAAGGCCGTGAAGCGGTAATCCAGCGGCGTCCGTCGGCTCTGCCCCGACAGCTCCCGCTGCAATTGCTGGGCCTGTACGGCACAACCGCCAGTTTCCCACGGTGATTCACCTGTGCCATCATCGTTACGACGCACCTCAGAAAAAACTCGATGAGCGCCATTTCCTGAACAGCTTGGTAGACAATTGTGCGCACTCCCCATCTTAAAGCCACTGCTTGGGAGAGGTCTCCACGAATTTGCAGATTTCGAAGAATCCCTAATTGAGGCAAGGATGGTCGCTAAAACATTCATATTACCTCGGGTATCTATGCATAAGACGAAGTCTGTAGACCAGGACTATCCAAAATATGGCTTGTGCAGACAATGCACACCCCGTGGACATCAAGCCCCATGAAAATTACCCCTCGCTTTTGAATTATCGACTTACACAGTCCTCGTTACCGTCCTTAAAGTCCACTTGTGTCTAACATGCGGCACACACACACGTAGTACCACTAGTATCTAACATGCGGCACACACACACACACGTAGTACCACTAGTAGCTAACATGCGGCACACACACACATAGTACCACTAGTATCTAACATGCGGCACACACACACGTAGTACCACTAGTAGCTAACATGCGGCACACACACACACGTAGTACCACTAGTATCTAACATGCGGCACACACACACGTAGTACCACTAGTATCTAACATGCGGCACACACACACGTAGTACCACTAGTAGCTAACATGCGGCACAACACAGACACGTAGTACCACTAGTATCTAACATGCGGCACACACACACACATGTAGTACCACTAGTAGCTAACATGCGGCACACACACACACGTAGTACCACTAGTATCTAACATGCGGCACACACACACGTAGTACCACTAGTATCTAACATGCGGCACACACACACACGTAGTACCACTAGTAGCTAACATGCGGCACACACACACATAGTACCACTAGTATCTAACATGCGGCACACACACACGTAGTACCACTAGTATCTAACATGCAGCACACACACACGTAGTACCACTAGTATCTAACATGCGGCACACACACACGTAGTACCACTAGTAGCTAACATGCGGCACACACACACGTAGTACCACTAGTAGCTAACATGCGGCACAACACAGACACGTAGTACCACTAGTATCTAACATGCGGCACACACACACGTAGTACCACTAGTATCTAACATGCGGCACACACACACGTAGTACCACTAGTATCTAACATGCGGCACACACACACACATGTAGTACCACTAGTATCTAACATGCGGCACACACACACACACGTAGTACCACTAGTATCTAACATGCGGCACATACACACACACGTAGTACCACTAGTATCTAACATTCGGCACACACACACAGGCGTAGTACCACTAGTATCTAACATGCGGCACACACACGTAGTACCACTAGTATCTAACATGCGGCACACACGTAGTACCACTAGTATCTAACATGCGGCACACACACACACGTAGTACCACTAGTATCTAACATGCGGCACATACACACACACGTAGTACCACTAGTATCTAACATGCGGCACACACACGTAGTACCACTAGTATCTAACATGCGGCACACACGCGTAGTACCACTAGTATCTAACATGCGGCACACACACACACACACGCGTAGTACCACTAGTATCTCCCTCTGGGCCGCCTGCATCGTGCTGCGGGGTGTGCTCTTGTCTTGCGCCCGTCGCTCCAACATGGCGTTGATGTGCTGCCGCACGCGCAATTGCAGCTCGCGCTCCCGTGCCAACCTGCACCGTCGCATACAGCCGCACATGAACGAACCCATGACCCATGAAGCGAACGCCCAAATAATAGATGTGACGCACGCATCCTTGGCCATGCACACATTCGCAAACTTGAAAGAAAACGTGCGTGCATGTGTGCGCGTTATCAAGTGTGTTGTGCTGATCGATGCCCGGGTGCGATCAAGGGATGGCTCCCTATTGCTCAACCACGTTATGTATGCTGATGATTTGGTAATAGCTGCTTAGAGGAGGAGTTGGAGACGCTGCTGCTGAGACTGGGGCGTGCCACTAAGAGGTGGGGCTTACCATCAGCCCCACCGAAACTAAGTACCTGCCTGGGTATTTTGTACCATCGGACACTCCACCCCCACAACTCCCAATCGGTGATGGGGCAGTTGTGGAGAGAGTGGAGAGTTTCCCATACCTGGGCAGTGTGCTTATGACTGGCTCCAGTTTAACAGCAGAGGTCTCGCTCCGAATCAGTCGAGCGGCAATATCTTTTCATCGGTTGCGTAACGCTGTGTGGAAGCTACCTGGTCTATCGCTCCGCACTAAGCTTCAGGTCTTCTCGGCCACGGTCATTCCCTCCCTTCTCTACGCTTGCGAAACGTGGACCCCCCTAATGGAACATCTTCGCTGGTTAGAAACATTTAGGCTGGCCTGCCTATGATCCATCCTTGGTTTAACCAGACGGGATTGTGTGAGGAGCTCACAAATCCTTGAAAGATCTGGGCAAGGTCCCATCAGTGAGCTCCTCTGGCGGGCAAGGCTGCGATGGCTGGGTCATGTAGCCCCCATGCCCAGCCAACGCATGCCGAAACAGCTTTTGTTCGGCCGGATTGAGGGGGCTAAGCGGGCGCGGCACGGGCTAGAGAAGAGATGGAGTGATGTGGTACAGGAGGACGTGGAGCTGAGTGGACTTGCCGATGACTGGTACTAGCGGTGTCAAGATCGGCCTCTGTGGAGGAGGCTCGTGAAGGATGCTACTGGGCAGTTTGAGGTAGTCGCCCTCCAACAACAACGGAGGGCGGAGGAGCGACGCTCACAACAACGAGCAGAGCGCCGGGTGGCTAAAGCACAGCAGGTTGGCACAGTAGGGGGCACAGGTGGTGCATCAGCCAGTCATCTCAGTCAGTCGACCCGTGGCACCTGGGTCTGCCCCGTGACCTGCCAGCGGGCGTTCGACACTTCACGTGGCCTCAGGGTGCACATAGCCTGGCACAAGCGTCGTGGTGACGTCACCGCCACTTAGTGGCGAATGGCGGTTGTTGTTGTGTAATGAGGAACACAAACTAATCATTAGACCAACTGGTGCTGATGCATCACACATCACCATCGTTTCTGCTTCATCGCAGATTTCCGAAGTCGACACTTGACCCCATTCCCAGTCAGCTCTTAAAGCATCCCACCTGAGTCGCTGGCCTCCAGGTGCCACTCCCATGCCTGGCTTGGTACCGCGTGTGCCCCATTCATCACAACATTCTCTTTCCGACTCGCATCTATTGCGCTTTCCTGCCATGCTCGTTTTAAACTTCCAAAAAGCTCTCCCTATCCTGTAATGAAATGCCCTAGAATTCTCTGCTTGTGCCTATATTCAAAGTCCCTAAGATTCCTTTCAGCTATATTAAAGGACACCTCTCTGGTCTGTGCAGTAACACTTGTGCATGGTCTTTGGTTCTATTCGGTAAAGTCACGTAGTAACCTCTTTGGTTCTATTCGGTAAAGTCACGTAGGTAACCTACGTAGGTAACCTACGTGACTTTACCGAATAGAACCAAAGAGTATGGATCCTTGCAGTCACGAAAGCTTTAAATCTAGAACTTGTGCATGGCTCTTGCTTACAGTACAGCGAAGTGCGTTCAATCTGAAAAGTTCCTGACGGGATGCTTGAGGATGCCGGTGGTAGCTCTGTCTCGTCGGCTGGGGCCACAGGCGCGCATTATCTTTGGCAGCAGAGGGAGGGAGGAGAGCTCTCACCTGGCTCCGAGCAGTTCTTGCCCACTGTGAGTGGCGGCTGGGGCTCGCGGCTCGGCCTTCCCAAGAGTGCCGGGCTTTGCTCGAGCTACACTGGGATAGTAAGCTGGATCTGTGCCAAACGGCGCATTCCTGACCACCTGTACATAATAACAACAAAGGCTAAAGAAACATTTTAAATACATGTCAATCACCTTGCAAAAATCTAACAAAAGAGAGCTTTTCTCAGAAGTAAAGACTTCTCCGTGTTAAGTCTTATCGTGGTCTATACTTGTAAATATCTGTAGTGCAAACCGGAACTGTATTGGCAGATACATTTTGTAACACGATATATATTTTTGTAATCCTTGAGTTGCAGATAACGTGTTCTATTGTGTGTCGCCGGCATCCACTAACAGCAAAAGTGCATTAACCTCGTGCAACGACACACTAAAAAGCACAATATATTTTAGGAACCAATATGTATAAATGGTGTTCCATTACAGCCAGACTCAACAGCTTTTGGTCCTTGACAAAAGCTTGGCTGTTCCATTTAATCAAACCATTTCAAAGGTTAACACGCAATTTCAATCAATATTTAATTTTATCTGAAAAAGGATGATTTAAGTGGCCGTCTTGCAAGAGCAAATGTTTAATGTATGAACTGTGAACAATTTTCAGGCATGTGTGCACCAGAAAAAAATGCATTTCAATTCACTTCAAGGAAACTCTAAAAGGCCAAACGTTGACTGCTGTGTGACATATAAGCAATCAGTCTGCAACACGTGACTTCAATATATCTTGTCCATGGCTCTTGCTTACAGTACAGTCCTGCCGCACATTGAAATAATCCTTTTTCACTTCTGATTAGCACAGTTGGCTACGCACGATGTGAAAGAAGTTCCCGCACGCATACATGCATAGCTCTACGTGCGACGTGCACTTCAACGTGACCGTCGCGAGGCGGCTACGTCCGTGCGGCACCTGGTCAAGGGCGTTCGCATCCAGACCCTGGCCGCATCTCTCACTCTGCGTTTTCCGCTGCTCTTGCTTGGCCTTCGTGCGCCAATCCCGCAGGGCCTCCCCATTTCTGAGTAAATAGGGCGATGGCACGTTTGTTTCATCGCCAGGTGCGGAATACAAAGACTGCTGGCAAAATTGTGGTTCGCAAATTGCGGGGTTATTCTGCAACAAAGCAACGTTACACGCCGGCTGCAGCCTCCGTGCCTCTCCGCCTACTGATGCTGCCTCTTACACACGACAGCAACGCTCCAAGGGATGACAGTGGCCAACAGGCAGATGCAGAGAAAAGGAGATGGCATCAGCCATAGGGATAGACACGGAGATACAAAGAACAAGGCACAGACGCCGGGATGGAATCTTTGAGTCATTTTCCCTCCAAGGTTTCAAATTCAACACTTTCTGTAAATAATGAGAAAACCCATCACCACAGGAGAATTAACGCAGGTGTGATGCTCATTAACACCAAGAATACACGACTCCCAATCATGCTTTGCATTCATATCAAGTGACCACTACATTGCATGTACAGTACAATGCTCTCATACTTGTCTAAGCCATCAGCTCAACAGAACTTAACATGTGGCCGTGTTATTGTTTAGACCACCAACTTCAAAGGAGTTGAAAATGTGACTAGGACAGTGAAATGTTGTTCAGCTCTTCTGAGATGGTGGCTTCGACAAGGCTGAGAGCGTTGTACATGCAATGTGGTGCCCTTCAATATTGACAGTTTATCTTGCAGTTCCAAGTAATTTTGATAATTACTGTGTGATATTTCGATTTAAAGCTTTCGTGACTGCAAGAAAGAACCAAGAAGATACTGTGTGATAGTTAATCATAACCTGTTGGGTGAATACTAACTGCATTATATACTGACTTGACTTGGTAAACCTTAATTGTGTATTATGTACGCATTTTGTACAGCAGTCATGACGTATACACTAACTGAATATTCTGTAAAGCATTATGTACAGCGTTGACTATTGTCTTCAAAAGCGATTAATAACACTAACAAAAATGTTGTTCCTGTGTAGTAAGTGTTATTTCCTAATTGCTTATGCCGCAAAAGTACAGAAAATGGCGATTATTCCCCACAAACTTTGCTTTTTGTGACCAGGACAGTGATATTTTGAAATGTACCTATTTTCAATGAGAACACGTGGTGTGCATTTGTGTCATTCCGTCACGTAAAGTCCTGGTCACAAAAGCAAAGTCTGTTGGGAATAATAGCCATTTTCTATACTTTTTAGGCATAAACAATAAAAAAGAACACTACCCAGGGACAAAAAACGTGTTGCATAGTATAATTACAGCTGTGCGCCACCACGCCTGGCCCTGCATGCGTGTTTACGAGAATGGCAGAAAAACGCATAATTTGACCGTAAGCCTTGTCATTGCAGTTTCACCCTAAATGAAGTTCCGTGTAACAGCTTCAGCACCGAGAGTGGTGGTCAAAGCGGATGCTGCCTCGCGCTCCTCGCATCTCACCTCCGCTGCTGCTCGGCTCGCTCTGCCCTGCTGCGCTGCTCACGCCTCGCAACGTCCACGGCCCAGCTGCGGGCCGGGGATTTGACGCCTGATGCCACCTTCCTGTCTCTGCGGATGATAGCGGCGGAGTAAACGCACAAGCGTTCACGGTCATGTTGTACAATGCGGGTGTAAAATGTTAAAAGTAACCTGCAGCGCCACACCTATTACCATCATTAGGGGAAAAAACGGTGATCCAATCTCCGACCCCCAGGAACAGGTTTGCAGATTTGCTGAGCATTTCTGTGAGGTCCTGGGGGAGGGAAAATCCCTCAGCCAGGAAAACATCGTGGCACAAAGTGAGGATGACCCTGCTGAGGCTGCGGTGCCTCAAATATTGGAAGAAGTCACCCCCTGTGAGTGGCTGGCTGAGGTGCCATCTGCTGAGGAAGTATTGAAGGCGATCCGGAGTCTGAGACCAGAAAAGGCAGCGGGCAGAGATGATCTCCCAAGCGAAATGCTGAGGGAGGGTGGCGTTTGTGAACAGACTGCCCTATATGACATCATAACAACAGTCTGGACCACTGGACGGGTTCCGCAGGATTGGAAGGATGCCCTGGTGGTCCCCCTTTTTAAGAAGGGGGACCGCACAGACTGTAACAACTACAGGGGCATCTCACTCCTCAGTGTGCCGAGAAAGGTCCTGGCAAGGATTATTCAGCATCGCCTTGCCAGGCACGCTGAGGAGAGGCTTGCGGAGCCCCAATGCGGTTTCAGGAAAGGGCGGTCCTGCACAGATGCCATATTTTCTGTCCGTCTGCTACAGCAGAGGTGTAGGGAATTCCAACAAGACCTACATCTCTGCTTTATTGACCTGGTCAAGGCCTATGATACCATCAGTAGGCCTGGGCTCTGGGTCGTTCTTCGTGCTTTTGGAGTACCTGACCCTCTGCTCACGATCATTAAGGACCTTCATGATGGTGAGCGGGCCCGGGTAAAACTACGTGGCCGGGAGTCAGAGCCATTCCCTGTACACCTTGGGGTGCGACAGGGATGTCCTCTGGCTCCCACATTATTTAACATTATTTTGACCACGTAGTTCGTGAAGCCTTCAATAGCTGTACCGGTGGAATCTCCATATGGTACAGATATAATGGGAGGCTAATCGATGCCCGGGTGCGGTCAAGGGATGGCTCCCTATTGCTCAACCACGTTATGTATGCTGATGATTTGGTAATAGCTGCTCAGAGGAGGAGTTGGAGACGCTGCTGCTGAGACTGGAGCGTGCCACTAAGAGGTGGGGCCTTACCATCAGCCCCACCAAAACTAAGCACCTGCCTGGGTATTTTGTACCATCGGACACTCCACCCCCACAACTCCCAATCGGTGATGGGGCAGTTGTGGAGAGAGTGGAGAGTTTCCCATACCTGGGCAGTGTGCTTATGACTGGCTCCAGTTTAACAGCAGAGGTCTCACTCCGAATCAGTCGAGCGGCAATATCTTTCCATCGGTTGCGTAACGCTGTGTGGAAGCTACCTGGTCTGTCGCTCCGCCCTAAGCTTCAGGTCTTCTCGGCCACGGTCATTCCCTCCCTTCTCTACGCTTGCGAAACGTGGACCCCCCTAATGGAACATCTTCGCCGGTTAGAAACATTTAGGCTGGCCTGCCTACGATCCATCCTGGGTTTAACCAGACTGGATTGTGTGAGGAGCTCACAAATCCTTGAAAGATCTGGGCAGGGTCCCATCGGTGAGCTCCTCCGGCAGGCAAGGCTGCGATGGCTGGGTCATGGAGCCCGCATGCCCAGCCACCGCATGCCGAAACAGCTTTTGTTTGGCCGGATTGAGGGGGCTAAGCGGGCGCGGCACGGGCTAGAGAAGAGATGGAGTGATGTGGTACAGGAGGACGTGGAGCTGAGTGGACTTGCCGATGACTGGTACCAGCGGTGTCAAGATCGGCCTCTGTGGAGGAGGCTCGTGAAGGATGCTACTGGGCAGTTGGAGGCAGTCGCCCTCCAACAACAATGGAGGGCGGAGGAGCGACGCTCAGAACAACGAGCGGAGCGCTGGGTGGCTAAAGCACAGCAGGTTGGCACAGTAGGGGGCACAGGTGGTGCATCAGCCAGTCATCTCAGTCAGTCGACCCGTGGCACCTGGGTCTGCCCCGTGACCTCCTGCCAGCGGGCGTTCGACACTTCACGTGGCCTCAGGGTGCACATGGCCTGGCACAAGCGTCGTGGTGACGTCACCGCCACTTAGTGGCGAATGGCGGTTGTTGTATTTTTACAAGGTTAAGCATTGCCACTTCCCCATGGCTACACTGCTAAATGTCAGATGTTGATAATTTAAGTAAATATGCTTTAATGATTGGGAGAATCGAGATTTCGAAAGCAAATGGATGCCATAAAAACTGAAATGAAACACCGTACAGTATTTCAAATGAAATAAACGAGTTACGTAAGAACTTATAGAATGGGACTTATGCTTGTGTGTGTTCAGGAGAGACGTAATCGACACCAACTTTGTTCAGTGGCATGCTGGCCAGGGTGAGTAGAGAAAGCAGATCACCTCGCAATTGGAATTTGTACCTGCGAGACTTGAAATGCGGAAACTTGAATAATGACTCGAGGCTGGTCCGTCGTGAGACCAAACGCGGCGCGCTACGCTCCTGTTGAGTGTGTGTGTGTTCTCTCTGCATCAAGTGTGTGTGTATGTTCTCTGCATCAAGAGTGTGTGTGTGCATGTTCTTACTGCATTAAAAGTGTGTGTGTGTGCGCATGTTCTCTCTGCATTAAGAGTGTGTGTGTTTGCGTGCTCCTCGTGCCGAGTGTGTGTGTATGCGGATTCTCTCTCTCTCTCTGCGTGGAGGTTGTGTTCTTTCCGGTTGTAGTGCCGTGCAACCCATGTTGTTTACGGAGTACCCTGCAACCCATGATGTGTACATTTCCCAATTAAACTCTTTCGCGTCGAGGTCGCCAAGTGACATCAGTGAACCGCCGTGCGATTCCCACCTCAGCCTGTGGCGGTGAAAACGTCTTATAGATGTAATCAGACAGACGGATTTGAGATGGGTGGGGTAAGTGTGGAATGAAGGAAGGCAGAATACCAAGACAGCAGCAGCAGCAGCCTGAGGTCACCAACCAAAGAGGAGAGACCTAGAACCAGATGGTGTATGACTGCAGGAGAACACCTTCGTGGCCAGGTGTCACTGTTGCAACTTTTAAAAAGGAAATAGAATTATATCTTGACTTTTATTCAATTAGTTTTCTCTTTAGTCCATAGGAAGACACTGTAATTGAACGTATACTAATGGCATTTTCCAACATTTTAAGAGTGAATTCGTACATATTTTATACGAGTAAAATAGTGAATACAATAAATTATCATTGTCCGTTTATGACAATTATCTTTTCGGATGTGCTGCGTGATTGAAGGGAAGTGAAATGCAATGAGTTTACCGTGACGAGTGAGGTCCGCCACCCTGTGCGAACCTGGAGGCATGAGGGAGTTTAGATACTAAAGGGGGGTCATCCGTCTCTGGAATCACGACTGCTGATGTTTCACTTTGCAGCTGTAGAGGATTCTGGCAATGCAGCTCTTCAGTTGGGCTCTCCTCTACACAAGACAGTTCAGTATTGCCCATTGTAGATTCTGGTCCACACAAAATACAAAAAGACACAAAATAATATTTCCGTTTGAGCGAATGTTGCTATCAAGGTCGGCATGGCGCAACAAGTGGCGAGGCAGGCGTCATCATCATCATCATCAGTCTGCCGTTGTTTTTACGGGGCTCTTGTCAATACACTACTCCACAGCCTATTAATCACATACTGTTAATCACGAGGATCATGAGATCCAGGATTATTCTCATTATCCAAAGACTTGGAGATTAACTAGTTAGTACATTTTTAAAAAATGTAATCATTGTGCTGCATCGTATTAGCGAGGCAATAAGGGGCCGTCCATAAATGACATCACGCACCTGGGGGGGTCAGAGATTTGTGACGATGTGTGAGGGGGGGGGGGGTTTGAGAAATGTGACGTCATATCAAAATGCGCAACTTTAAATAAATACAGACAACACGTTCTACTTAATTAAATAGACTTTTTAATAAATGTTTTCTTCTATAATAGCAGAGTGCAGCGCCACATTAAATATGCACTACAATGACAATAGCTTAAAGCGATTTGAAGCATGTTTTATATATTTGGGGGGGGGGGGCAGAGCTTTGTGACGTCATATTTGAGGGGGGGTCTGACTTTTTGTGACGCCGTGTGACAAAGGGGGGGGGGGGTCAAAAAATGTCCAAAATCGCGTGACGTGATTAATGGACAGCCCCAAATACATTTCGAAATGTACTTCGAATATAAATGACAAACTGAAACAAATGTCCAGTGATGTTCTCATTCAAAAATAAGAGTGGTAGACAACATTGGTCACCTTTTCCTACAAGGCAGATGAGGTACAGCAGCAGTTGCAATTCACCAGCAGACGCAAATTGGTGACTTATAATAACTTCAAATCATAACACGTAGAAAGAGATCGACTCAGAGGTGCGTGCAACCACAATCAGGAAGGCAGCAACACGGTGATCCGGCACGAATTACACAAGATCTGCAGTCCTATATATATGAGTGTGTTATCAGCCAGTGAATGAGCAATTACGTGTGGGATGAAACTGGAGCACCCAGAAGAAATGGACACGTGCGAGGGGGAAACATTCTATCCCATACAGACGGAAATGGTGAAGTCCACATTTTGTCTGTCCTGCCTTCTCTTGGCGAGCCAGGATGTGCCACCTCGATGCCCACGGCAAGAGAGTTTCACAAAATTTGTGCGATCCACCAACCCTGCATCCATCGTGCTGGATTACAGGCGTGCATAGCCACCACCGCCCGGCTACTAAAATGACGGTGTTAAGGGCATGTCACATATGCAACATTTTGCTGGCGTCTACCTGTGCAGCTGTGCGAAGTGTCCCGTAGAGCCCGAGCGGCGAGCACTTGTCTGAGAAAGAGCAGGATGGCACGGGTACCGCGGTGCACAATGTCAGCTGGGGGCTCCTCCAGAGGGCAGCCTCGCAGGCTCAGTGACTTCAGGCACGTCAATCTGCCTGCACACACCAGCAAACTTTCCATAACAGCACACAAACTATGAATATATTAGAAAATTATACAATATTGAACATCGAGGGATGGCCCATTTGCATTCTAGAATCAGCAACACGGCCCGGATCTGCGTACCCACAATCCGTTAGCCACGGATCTGTGTGAGCTCGGCCCATCCGTCTCCATCCCGCACCCCCTCCCCTCCTTCCCCCCGACCTCCCGTCGCCAGGAGTCCATGTTGGAAAGCGATGTTTGTTTGTCTCTTTTTTTCCTTGTTTTCAGGGGTACAGAGACAAGATAAAGAGCTGTGTGATGCACCAAACCTGTCCCGAAAGTGCTGGATTACAGGAACGCGTAGTTACACTTGGGTGGGAGGAAAAAGGCAATTTCCTTGAACAAGAACCCCTGGGTAATCTTTGACCTTCCTCTTAATCTGTATGTTTATAAATAATGTAAACATTTCCAGATGATTCTTCATCTCAGCTGTACGCCACTGCAGATGTAATGGAAGAGCTGCACACATGGGTTGCCTTATCTTGTCTATGGCATCAGGGGTAATACGAATCTTGCCCACTGTGATCATCTTGTATTCTTGTCTGTGAATCCATCACTGATCTTCAAGATAATAAGACGTGCTATAAGAATTTCATATCAGCTGATTTCCGTGGGTAATATCATATGCAGATAAGTGAAAAGTGTATAAATGATAGTGGATGCTAGCGAACATGTTACAATGCTCACAAAATGAGTCACAGGATATTTGTTTTGTATACGCGTATCGTGTGCATGCAATGTGCGATACTATGCCAATGCTTGCCCTGTGGCAAGATTAATCTACATCAGGGGAATACAGAATGTAAAGCGCTGGCTCAGTGTTAGAATGAGATGGGCACTACTACCTCAATGTGTGAGCCTGGAGACACATCGCCACAACGTGAATGCTTTGCCCGGTTTGTGCAAAATGTAATTTCACGAAAGTTTGACAGTTTCGGAGTTTCAGGTAGGGTTGTGGTGTGAATACATTTTGAAATTCGTCATTGCGTTTAACTATCATGCCCCACCATAAGGCACGCTAACATTATGTGACACAACTTAGGATGTGCATGGTGGGGCACACCTGTAGTTTAGTGACATGCAGGCTGGTCTGTGAGCGCCCTTGTAATGTCCAGAACGATATAAGTTGTCATTATTATAGATCGTGCTAAAATGGTGTGCAAATCACAACTAGGGGTAGGAGGAATAAAGTGTATGTTGGAGGCAGTACGGTAATTGATTTTCTAATCTGGCGGTGCAGTGTTTGTTCTTGTGTAAGTGGGCTCCCCCCGCCCCGTTACCTTCCACATGCAAACAAAAGCAATGGGACACACTCCACCAAAGTGGAATTCTCCTGGAAGGATCTTGAGACTCTTTTAATCTGAATTAACCTTTTCTGAATTAACCTGTAGGTTCACTGAGCCCGACAGTGTGTGAATCACTTACTGATATTCGCGAGCTGATATTTCGACTATGTAGAAACCAACAAGAGCAAATCCAAATGTAACCGTAACCAGCAGTGGTAAACAAGCACCATTCAAATGTTGTGAATATTGTTTCTTTGATATTGGATGCTGCCTCCTCGGAATAATTAAGTTTGTACTCAAAAGAGGGAGCATATTTTAGAATGCCAGGAAAATACGTTGAATGTATTTCGTATGACTCCCAGAATAAACATGCTGAGGAAAGTATCATTTTAAATTGGTTGTCTATCCGCGATTTATGTCTTTACTCTTAATGTTGCATACATGAGTGAAATATATATTTTTCAAATGTTGTGGTGTGTAATCTATTATTTGCTATGGCATATTAAATGTAGTGGGCATAAAGTTAAATTTCTCATCCTTGTTAAATGAGTACAAAAATATGAATCCACCTCTGCATAATTAATACAAATTCTGACTATGCCTTTGTGCAAGTTAAGGCCTGCACATATTCGTATGACTGTACAACTCTTATGGGAATCTTCAATACTTACTCTTTACAGGTCATTTGATATAAGATAGGGTTTTCATAAGCTTGTGTATGTGATTGTGCGTGTATTTTGTATGTGTGTTGTTTATTATATAGTTTGTGTACAGAACGTATTAGCACCCTGCTGGTGTGCTGTGTGAACCGTGTTATTGTGTGTAACAGAGACTATTAGTGCACCCATAAACTCACCAAGCTCTGCTGGTAAATGTGTGATTGGATTTCCTTCCAACAACAATGTTTTCAGACACCTACATCAGGCAACACGACGAACCGAATATGGAACATTTCAACAAAATATGATGAGTTAAAACTAGAACAGCATACACATCAAAGGCATCGTAGTGACATGAAAGGTTAACCTGCAGGCTACAAAGCACTGATGAAATTTCATATTCTGCACTGACTTTATCAATCTAAAGCCTCAAATGACATTCTCTATTTTACAATTACAAAAATTGCAGGTTACAATTATTTACCAATTCCCAAAGCATCGGTGAGTTGAATATAATGATATTCTGCGCAGCCTAGAATGGGGGCATTTGACATGCAACCTGTGACTACCATTTGCATAAAAAAAGCTTTAAGCAATTTCATTTTTTACTCCATACCAATAACACGATTTCATGAAAAAAATAGTTATTTTAAAATTAAAAATCAGATCAATGAGTGCTGAAAATAACCTCCTATGTTCGGGATAAATATTTAATCAAAGCTCGGATTTTTGTTTTATCTGCACGCAGAGAAAAAAGCGGGGAGCAACTCGGTGAGTATAAGTGGAGGGATGTTCGTCCTCAGTCTCGGGTGCGTCCTTGGCATGTCCATTGAGTGGGTACCTGTGCTGCCCCACAGCGGGCGGGAGACCACAAAGCCTATTACTCCGCAGGTCAAGCCACAGCATGCGTGGCAGGCATTCAAACAGAGCAGGTGGCACCTCCACAAGATTGTTGCCTTCCAGGCACACGTGCTGGAAAGCACAAGCAAACCAAGTTTCAAATGACACACATACACAATATACTCAGAGCTTTAACACATTCGTCATCATCGGCCATGGTCAATCCACTGCTGGATGAAGACCTCCCCAAGCTGCCACCTCTCACGATCCTGGGATGCAAGAACAATCCACGCAGCTTTAGTGGATGTTAAGCTACGTTCCATTCTTTGGCTGCCACACCCTTTCTTATCCTTGACCATCATCCATCACAGTATGCCACATAATTGTGCGACAGACCGAGGGCACAGTAGGAGCTCAAAAATATCTCCACATTTAATATGCTTAGCAGAATGTTGTTATCAACTTCCTGGCTCCCTGTATATAATAGCATATCATTGCATTATTTTTAATATTTCGTTGTGAAATGCAAACCAATGCTTTCAAAGTGGTCAATTTTGTATCATAGCTTTCAAAATATATTGTTACTAAAATTCCTGTCAAATGTTTTTTTTTAATTAAATCTTTATTATTCCAATCAATTCGTACACCATGATTAAGTTATGCATCGTAATGGCATTAATCTAGGTGGGTTTCTGCATTATTGAAGAAATACAATTTTTAAATGTATTCATAATTACATTTAATAATCACGGCACATGAAGTAGTAGCTTGATTAATGTGAATGATTTATTCAACCATTTACGAGGGTCAGGCAACCAATCAAGGGTTCAAGTCAGTCAAGGCGTGACGTTCACCCTATAAAAACTGTATTATTCCATTGTCACTGGATTCGTTAACGGCAAAACACTGCAATACAATCCACAGAAAAACATGTAACGCAACTAACAACTATTGTTTTTTTCTAATTGTATTAAAACAAAATAAAGCTCACAATGTTCTAAGCATAGGTTGTTGGTCGTTAGAGATCGCTGACAGACATTTAGGAGCATTCACTACCCTGCACAAACTCTCTCTTTAACTCTCGCCACCAACCCTGAATTTGCAACACAGGTGAGCCAGGTGAAACACAGGTGTCAGGAGACACAGGTCCTATACAGGTGAGACAGGTTAAACAGACGAAACACAGGAGACACGGGTGATACACAGACGACACACAGCAGGCACAGGTGAGAAGCAGGTGAGACGCAGGTGAGACAAGTAGCTGAGACGCAGGTGAAACAAGTAGGTGAGACGCAGGTGAGACAAGTAGGTGAGACGCAGGTGAGATGCAGGTGAGACACAGGTGAGACACAGGTGAGACACAAGTAGGTGAGACGCAGGTGAGACACAAGTAGCTGAGACGCAGGTGAGACAAGTAGGTGAGACGCAGGTGAGACGCAAGTAGCTGAGACGCAGGTGAGACGCAGGTGAGACACAAGTAGGTGAGACGCAGGTGAGACGCAGGTGAGACACAGGTGAGACACAAGTAGGTGAGACGCAGGTGAGACGCAGGTGAGACACAAGTAGGTGAGACGCAGGTGAGACGCAGTTGAGACACAAGTAGGTGAGACGCAGGTAGGTGAGACGCAGGTGAGACACAAGTAGGTGAGACACAAGTAGGTGAGACGCAGGTGAGACACAAGTAGGTGAGACACAAGTAGGTGAGACACAAGTATGTGAGACGCAGGTGAGACGCAGGTGAGACACAGGTGAGACACAAGTAGGTGAGACGCAGGTGAGACGCAGGTGAGACACAAGTAGGTGAGACGCAGGTGAGACGCAGGTGAGACACAAGTAGGTGAGACGCAGGTAGGTGAGACGCAGGTGAGACACAAGTAGGTGAGACACAAGTAGGTGAGACGCAGGTGAGCCACAAGTAGGTGAGATGCAGGTGAGACACAAGTAGGTGAGACGCAGGTGAGACGCAGGTGAGTCACAAGTAGGTGAGACGCAGGTGAGGCACAGGTGAGACACAAGTAGGTGAGACGCAGGTGAGACACAAGTAGGTGAGACACAAGTAGGTGAGACAAGTAGGTGAGACACAAGTAGGTGAGACGCAGGTGAGACGCAGGTGAGACACAAGTAGGTGAGACACAAGTAGGTGAGACGCAGGTGAGACACAAGTAGGTGAGACACAAGTAGGTGAGACAAGTAGGTGAGACACAAGTAGGTGAGACGCAGGTGAGACGCAGGTGAGACACAAGTAGGTGAGACACAAGTAGGTGAGACAAGTAGGTGAGACACAAGTAGGTGAGACGCAGGTGAGACGCAGGTGAGACACAAGTAGGTGAGACGCAGGTAGGTGAGACGCAGGTGAGACACAAGTAGGTGAGACGCAGGTGAGACGCAGGTGAGACACAAGTAGGTGAGACGCAGGTAGGTGAGACGCAGGTGAGACACAAGTAGGTGAGACACAAGTAGGTGAGACACAAGTAGGTGAGACGTAGGTGAGACACAAGTAGGTGAGACGCAGGTGAGACGCAGGTGAGACACAAGTAGGTGAGACGCAGGTGAGACACAAGTAGGTGAGACGCAGGTAGGTGAGACGCAGGTGAGATACAAGTAGGTGAGTCGCAGGTGAGACACAAGTAGGTGAGACGCAGGTGAGACGCAGGTGAGACACAAGTAGGTGAGACACAAGTATGTGAGTCGCAGGTGAGACACAAGTAGGTGAGTCGCAGGTGAGACACAAGTAGGTGAGACGCAGGTGAGACGCAGGTGAGACACAAGTAGGTGAGACACAAGTAGGTGAGACGCAGGTGAGACACAAGTAGGTGAGACACAAGTAGGTGAGACGCAGGTGAGACGCAGGTGAGACACAAGTATGTGAGACGCAGGTGAGACACAAGTAGGTGAGTCGCAGGTGAGACACAAGTAGGTGAGACGCAGGTGAGACGCAGGTGAGACACAAGTAGGTGAGACACAAGTAGGTGAGACGCAGGTGAGACGCAGGTGAGACGCAAGTATGTGAGACGCAGGTGAGACACAAGTAGGTGAGACACAAGTATGTGAGACGCAGGGGAGACACAAGTACGTGAGACGCAGGTGAGACACAATTATGTGAGACGCAGGTGAGACGCAGATGAGACGCAGGTGAGACACAAGTAGGTGAGACACAAGTATGTGAGACGCAGGGGAGACACAAGTATGTGAGACGCAGGTGAGACACAAGTAGGCGAGACGTAGGTGAGACGCAGATGAGACGCAGGTGAGACACAAGTAGGTGAGACGCAGATGAGACGTAGCTGAGACGCAGGTGAGACGCAGGTGAGACACAAGTAGGTGAGACGCAGGTGAGACACAAGTATGTGAGACGCAGGTGAGACACAAGTATGTGAGACGCAGGTGAGACGCAGGTGAGACAAGTATGTGAGACGCAGGTGAGACACAAGTAGGTGAGACGCAGGTGAGACGCAGGTGAGACACAAGTATGTGAGACGCAGGTGAGACGCAGGTGAGACACAAGTATGTGAGACGCAGGTGAGACACAAGTAGGTGAGACACAGGTGAGACACAAGTAGGTGAGACGCAGGTAGGTGAGCCGGGCGAGGTGGGCGAGACGCGCCGTGCGCGCCGTCTCGGACCTGGAGGCCGCTGGCGTCTCGCAGGGCCGCCTCGGGGAGGGAGGCGAGGCCGCGCCGGCTCAGGTCGAGGCTCATGCGGGAGTCGCGGGCGCGGGGAGCCGGAGCCTGCCCCGGGTCCCCCGCGTCCCCGCTCGCCATGACGCGAGACCCCACGGCCTGCCCGTGCGGTACAGAGACACGGGGACACACGGGGACAGAGACACGGGGACACACGGGGACAGAGACACCGGGGACACACGGGGACAGAGACACGAGGACACACGGGGACAGAGACACGGGGATACACGGGGACAGAGACACGGGGACACACGGGGACAGAGACACGGGGACAGAGACACGGGGACAGAGACACGGGGACACACGGGGACAGAGACACGGGGACAGAGACACGGGGACACACGGGGACAGAGACACGGGGACACACGGGGAGAGAGACAAGGGGACACACGGGGACAGAGACACGGGGACACACGGGGACAGAGACACGGTGTCTCTGTTTGGCCGGGACGCCGCTCGTCGCCACGGAGACGGCCTGCGACGTCGCGATCCGCGGAGTCGTCGTGGGTCGACTCCGTCCCCGATCGACTCCGCGATCCCTTCACTCGCGTCACCGACTCCCCCCTCCCTCGTGTTGTTGTTGTTCGCGCTCCCCTTCGCCGTCTCGTTCGCCTGACATCTTCTTCCTCATCTCGCACGCCGCATTAGCATATCATTTACCGTGTTTAGTCGTTTGTAATCTGCAGGAATCGCGAATCGAATTCTGCAGCGATTGATTCTATGCACGTCACGGCGTCAGAATGTAATCCTGTGCAGTGACAGGTCGACTCCAAGTGTCCTCCATAAACATCAGCCGTGGTCCATCCACTGCCGGGTGAAGGCCTCCTCTCAAAAGACGATCCCAGCGTGGTTGTGCAGGCAACACAAACTATACAGGGGAGGAAACTCGACAAATAATTCAACAATGACCCCTAACCGTGACCCTGAACCGTGACCCCGAACCGTGACCCTGAACCGTGACCCCGAACCGTGAAGACCAACAGTGACCCCAAACCATGACCCTGAACCGTGACCCCGAACCGTGACCCTGAACCGTGACGACCAACAGTGACCCTGAACTGTGACCCCGAACCGTGACTACCAACAGTGACCCAGAACCATGACCCTGAACCGTGACCCCGAACCGTGACGACCAACAGTGACCCCGAACCGTGACCCCGAACCGTGACTCTGAACCGTGACCCCGAACCGTGACGACCAACAGTGACCCCGAACCGTGACCCCGAACCATGACCCTGAACCGTGACCCTGAACCGTGACGACCAACAGTGACCCCGAACCGTGACCCCGAACCGTGACTTTGAACCGTGACCCTGAACCCGAACCGTGACCCTGAACCGTGAAAGTTTGGGATACCACTACTTGAATAAATATACTGTACCATTGAAAATTAGTTTAATGTTTGGTTTGATTTAGAACATCTTTCCAATGATTGCTTAATTTGAAACCATCCTCTCGGTTGAAATTGTGTCTGTGTTTGTAAATCTGAATTGCCTCGTGGACAAATCTCTGATAAAAACCCGTGGGTTTGCAGAGAACCTTGGTGATCACGATATAGTTTTCTCCGATACCAAGGTTCTCTGCAATCCCACGGGTTTTTATCAGAGATTTGTCCACGAGGCAATTCAGATTTACAAACACAGACACAATTTCAACCGAGAGGATGGTTTCAAATTAAGCAATCATTGGAAAGATGTTCTAAATCAAACCAAACATTAAACTAATTTTCAATGGTACAGTATATTTATTCAAGTAGTGGTATCCCAAACTTTCACAGCAGCTTATTTCCCTTCACACCAACATTATGTAAACTCCACCCCCCCCCCCCCCCCCACCGTGCCGGTCCAGTACATCATTTTATGCTTATTCCTTTGTCAAGGCGTTTTTTTGTTTCCTCCCACACAGCTTAAAGGACGCGACCTGGGCTTGCTGTCTTCACTCCAACGCTGTCCTCTGGACAGTCCAGTCCCTTCACCTGATGAAGGCCACTTGAGTTGTGGCCGAAACGTCGTGATTTTTTGTTATTTTATTTTTACCTACGTGACTTTACCGAATAGAACCAAAGAGTATAAACATCCGATGTTTGTTGCTATAAATGTATCTTGTATATGTGCGGCAAACCGTTATTTTTTACCATTTTGTTTTCAATGCGATTACCGGTAGCGCAAATAAACCGATGTTCACAACCTTAGTGTACATGTACTTCACAATACAGTTGTGTAAATATAATAATAGTACGTGACCGTAGTACTGGAGAAAGTGATGTATTCATTTGTTCATATCATGCCGCTGGGTGGCGCAATGGTGAAATCGAATCCGCCAACATGGGGACGCGAGTTCGGGTCGATGTCGAGAGTTGAACGACGTTCACTTATTGTTTATTGATACTAGAAGTGCAGAAACGCACGCAACCCATACAGCAGAAATAAGAAATACAATAACTTATGGGAAAATGACATCGTGATAATCGTGAAATGTAATACCTTATTACATCTCACATTATGTCATGTTGCAGCAAACCCGAATAGAATAAGCCTTCAAGAAGCCCATGGGTGTGTATGGGTTATTCTTCATTGTTTCTCGTTATAAAAACTAAAAACTCGCGTGGAGCAGCATAAAACACAGCCTGGGCAGTTATCCGAGACATATTTGGGTCGTGCCAACCGGTATCATACACATACAGTCCTCCACTAGGTTTCTAATTACACCGGGTGTTTATGTTTGAATATTACATTTCTGTTTATTCAGCTAAAAATAGTGTAGAAAATAAACGGGATGCATAAAACATGACTGCTTTCAATTATTTATCCCACCAGGTCAAATATGTACATGCTTTAATGTTTTTTTCGTGAATACTGAATTTGCATTTAGAATGCAGAGGCTGAAAATTATATATTTTTTATATAAAAGGAGTCATCTTTCTTTTTTAAGACCCAGTGAGAGACAATAAGGGTCAGATTCTCCAACTGGCGAATGTTTATTTCCATATTTTTTGCGAAATATTTCATTTCCAACAGCTTTTGGTAAATAATCAATTTGAGAATGTAAGAGTGACAGACACTGGGGAGTTGTTTTTGTCAGATTTCATGGTTTATCATTTATTTGTACTTATTGAAAGTCTATTTCCAAGTTAACTGTTGTGCTTAGGAGTCTGGTTGACGCAGACTCTTCGGGCAAGTGCTGTTCGTGAGAACCTTTGAAAGTCATGCTCAGCACGCGAGGAGGTGGGTGTCCAGCACCATGCCCAGCCGCCTCTGTCTCCCCAACGCTGATTTTTACACACCATACCAGGCATTCATTTAAAGGCTGAGTTAACCTTAAGGGAAATCCTGAACCAGTTCGGATATTCGTCACCAATGATGGTTGAGGGAAATTTGAAGTCCACGAGACTACGAATCCCCATCACGGCTGCTGTCCCACACACAAGCACTACACCCTGCAGCTATCTTGGCAGCCACAATACAGCAGCAATTCCTGCCGTAAGTTATTTGCTTGGAAGTTGAGTAGTTGAGGGTCAGTAAGCAGAAATTGCCCTTAGCAGTATTCACTTGGGTAAACAGCTCTCCGCACATATTGCTGAAGTGCCGATTTTTCTGGGGGGGGGGGGGGGACTCCTATCGTTGTCACGTCCTGTGTCAAGATGTTGTGCTTCCAAGCAATGCGGATGTTATTGCAATACGCTGTTGCAATCGCATAGACAAATAATATACCGCTGTACCCAGGGTCATACACTCTTCTGGCACAGCTTTTAACAGGGCATTCCGTGTTGAAATGACATTCATAGGTTTTCTCAATGTGTCAAGTTGTCTTTTCCACTGAAGTAGGAGACTATCACACGGGTAAAACGCATGAAACATGAGCAGTGACTTTGATGTATATCGGCCTAGGTTAGCTGCAAGTCCGTACATGTCCAGGGACCCCATACTCTTTGGCAGCCCTAAAAAGAACACATCGTTAAGTGTGTGGAATCTTTTGCGTGGGTGATAGGGGAAGAATAACTACATCAGCGTCAATGGTGCATACATTTTTTTTATCGACGAAGCTGTAATTAATTTGTGAAAGCGACATCCCGGTGTCGACTTTGTCTGCATGGAGCAATGCCCGTGAAGTCCCCTCAATGCGTGTCACACGCCACGTCGGTTATTCGCGCTCGAACGATGTCAATTACCAAGGTCTGTGTGACCCGAGTCCAGACATTTGGTTTGCTACGAACGCAAAGAGCTCGGCTTGACTTAAAAGTCACAAGAAACAGACGCGGTTACCAGGGAGGTATCATTATCACTCCATCTACGGGACTCAACTGCTCGCATCTGTCGTGCTGTTTGTTGCTGTGTTCAAACTGTTGGACGCTTAACTTCTTGCCATGTTAAGTATATTCGGTCAGTGTGCACACCCTGGGGGTTTTTAATGGCCATCAGCGATGGTGCAGTGGTTATTGTGCTGAACTTGTGCTCACGAGTTAAATTCCCCAGCGACGGCTAACATCAGTGGCAACCCAGCGCTGACCAGCGTGGTGAAGTATAGTTGCATGACAAAAAAAGGTTTGAATAGTACATGTACGCGAAAACAAGACAACTTTTACATCGGGGAATATAATTATATTTAAATGTACAGTACGTAACATTGATACAGCGCACAATATACGCAGTGAAATAATCAATGTAAGTGAACCCAAAGCTGAGATACAGGCGGTTGGGCCCATTGCCTTAAAGGGCGCCCGTCTGAGTAGTCGGGATTCGTCAGGCTTAATGCACATTGTACAGAACTTGTCCGCGATTAGTTTTAACTGTGAACAAATACGACGCGATGGTTCTTATTGTCAAAAAGGTTCGCCGCATTTTCAGCATCGTACTTGCATGCCCGGTGCTAAGGCGTGCCCGGTGCTCAGGCATGCCCGGTGCTAAGGCATGCCCGGTGATAAGGCATGCCCGGTGCTAAGGCATGCCCTGTGCTAAGGCATGCCCGGTGATAAGGCATGCCCGGTGCTAAGGCATGCCCGGTGCTAAGGCATGCCGGGTGCTAAGGCAAGCCCTGTGCTAAGGCATGCCCGGTGATAAGGCATGCCCGGTGCTAAGGCATGCCCGGTGCTAAGGCATGCCCGGTGCTAAGGCATGCCCGGTGCTAAGGCATGCCCGGTGCTAAGGCATGCCGGGTGCTAAGGCAAGCCCTGTGCTAAGGCATGCCCGGTGATAAGGCATGCCCCGGTGATAAGGCATGCCCGGTGCTAAGGCATGCCCGGTGCTAAGGCATGCCGGGTGCTAAGGCAAGCCCTGTGCTAAGGCATGCCCGGTGATAAGGCATGCCCGGTGCTAAGGCATGCCCGGTGATAAGGCATGCCCTGTGCTAAGGCATGCCGGGTGCTAAGGCATGCCGGGTGCTAAGGCATGCCCGGTGATAAGGCATGCCCGGTGCTCAGGCATGCCCTGTGCTAAGGCATGCCCGGTGCTAAGGCATGCCGGGTGCTAAGGCATGCCGGGTGCTAAGGCATGCCCGGTGCTCAGGCATGCCCGGTGTTAAGGCATGCCCGGTGCTAAGGCATGCCGGGTGCAAAGGCATGCCCGGTGTTAAGGCATGCCCGGTGCTCAGGCATGCCCGGTGTTAAGGCATGCCGGGTGCTAAGGCATGCCAGTGCTGAGCTGGAGAGCGGGCAGTGAGCCGCCCAGGTGGCTCGGGCACGGGACGAGGACGAAGGCAACCCAAGAAGGAGTTTCCCCGTTTGGCCTCGAAGCCGACGCCTCCACTCAACGACGGAGTTGCTTGCGTCCCGAGCGAGGCGTCACCGCGCGCGATGAAGTTGGAGAGAGCGACGCGCCGCGCCACAAGGCCTCGCCGTGCGGGCGTCTTGTTGCGCGCCACGCACACAACTCTCGTGGCACTTTGAGTCACGTCACCTCCTCCTCCTCCTCCATTGCTAGGCAACCCCGCAGCGCCCTCCTCTTCCTCCCTCCCCACAGGACCCCCCTCCTCCTGCCCCCACCCCGACTCGCGTGCCACCGAGTGGACGAGACTCTAAATATTAAAATAGCTCACGGAGTGGGGGACACTCGCTCGCTCGCTGTCTCTCTCTCTCTCGCGGTGTTTGAGCGCTGTGCGGAGTGGAGCGCTCTTCAAACCCGCGTCTCCGAGTTCGATTTTCGCTCACGGACACCACCAGCACCGGTCACGACTGTCCGAACCGGTCGTGGGTCTCTCCTAGTGCGGTGCGTAATCATTGCTACGAGGGAGACGAAGGCCACCGGGCGTGGTGCTGGCCACCCACCCCCTCGTGTGCCGTGCCGGCTCTTCATCGGCGCTGCTACTCGCTAACAGCACACTCGCCCCAACAGTCTGTGAAGGCTACACGGTGTGTGTGTGGGGGGATCTTTCTATTTATTGTGAGCTGCCATCCAGCAGCAGTCCAGCCGCGGTCTCCTCCCGGCTCTCGCTGCTGCTGCCTCGGTGTCCAAGGGGCGGACTCCGCGTCCCTCCTCCTCCTCCACCCGACCTGGAGCCACGCCGCCTCCGCTGCTGCTGCTGCTGCGCCCCGAGCCCATGGAGTGACGATGGTGGGGGGCTGCACGGGCCGACCATGGGGGCCACTCACTCCTCTAAGAGAGTCGTGTTCGACGAGAACGAGGACGGTGAGTGGCGGTGGCGGCGGCGGTGGTGGTGTCTCTGTTGTGTGTCACACACGGTGGATTGTTTGTGAAATAGAGCTTTATAGCTCATCGGATTCCCCTAGTATAAATACGGATTCTTATTGAACATTAATGGTGGGGCGCCGTCGTGTCGAGGATCGAGAAGCTACGGCTCCTTCGTCTGGTCCGCAGGAGGACGTGGGTTCGACCCCGGACCCTGGCGGTACCTGCATAGTTTGGATTTCGCAAGTTCTTTCCCCGTGGTAGATTTTTACTCCGGGTTTGCTTTCCACATTCGAAACGTTACCAAAATGCAGAGTGACTATACCACTATTGATACCTGTAATTTACAAAATAACATTTGGACTTTTAAGGTTTTGTACAAGCTGTTGTATAACAGTAATAATCGAAGTTTTAGAACATTTACATTTGTGTGCTCATGAGTAAATGATTATAGTGCACCGTGAAATTTGATCAGGATGTAAGAGATGACAGCTGAACCAGTGACTAAGATACAGTAGTATTATCATATATGCAGCTTCCATGACCGGAACCATATGTTCCGGTCATGGAGCTTTATTTACAATGCCAACGGGCTACAATTATAAAGATCTCATTCATGGAAAGTGACATTGGTCTTGCACATTTAAATCTGTAATTTGTGCAGAAGTATACCTCATTGCAATATAAGATTTGGAGCTGGGCTGTGCCATTATTTAAGTAATCGATTACTCAGTCCCTCTCCGTTACTCGACTAATCGGTTAACGCACACACAAATAGTTGTAAAAGGCAAGTCTAACGTCTGTTCCTACGTGTGCCGCTGGACGGGAGGTGATGCGCGTGACTTGGTGGTGCGATCAACATCAGCTGGGTGTGGCTTGGAGGGGGTTTCTTGCCTTCGCGGGGTAAGATGAAGTAGCAAAATAAAGTAAATTATAATTCTTTGATCGATTCATAGCCTTAATCGACTAACTTTTCCAGCACTAATGAGAATGAAGATTGTTAAGCCAGGTATCGGCAGAAATACCGCAATGATGTTGAAAATACCTTCGTGCGTGAATTAGTCTAATACCCCTCTCATTCTACATTCTAAACATTCATTCCCAACCAACACTTTTGCTGGGTAGCACTGTGGCCCGCACTTGTAAGAATCTGCGTTCAATTCCCAGTCGGATTCATATCTCACTACAGCCAATAAAACAGGCCAATTTGTGGGATGACAGATATTTTTTCTGCAAAATGTATTTTTCTCCTGCCATGGGAATGTGGAACTTCCACCGATGAGGACCGCAAATGGATCCGAATGAATGATTGCTTGGGCAGGGAAATACCTGATGCCATTTAAAGCAACACTGGTGTTTCGTAAGAGTTAATCGAGCTATATTTAAATTCCCTCTAACCCGACTGTGTCTGTGAGCATGCTCAACCGCTGACACAAATTAAACCCTCCAGCAAACAGAACAAAGCTGGAATGTATCCCTTATTCATACACAGACACCCCTTGTGTTAATCACATAAACGCTCTTAATGAAGCTACACTAAAACCTTAACTGCATCATCCCAACAGTATTGCCCTGTGCTGTGCTGTACTGTATACTGTATTCATTTGGCATAAAAAATAAACATTCAACTTGCAAAAACAACGTTTTGTTTATCTGTATTGAACATTAGAAAATATCTGATATATACTAAACACATCCTATCATCAGTAGTCATGATCTATCCACTGCTGGGAAAAGGGCTCTTCCACTTGTTGCCATCCCTCGTCTCATCGTGCAAAAACCCATTTCGCTCCTACAGAGCAGTTGATCTCATCACTCCTCTGTGCTGCATTTCCTCTCTGGAGAGTTCCTTCCTTGGGCTGCTCGTTTGTTGTCAGTCTCGACCATCGTCCGAGTGTCCCTTCGAGGAATGTGTCCTCCCCAAATCCACTTGTCTTAACAGTCAGAGTGATGCCTCTGATTTGTATTTGTTCTCTGATCCATGCATTCCTCTTTCTGTCTCTCAGTGTAATTGCAAAAGCTTATTTGCGTACTTTTCAGCCTCTGTTCGTGTTTGTTGTCAGAGTCTACTGTATATTTCTGATCCATAGGTCATAGCCTATGGCCGACAATAGCTTTAGTTATGGCGAGCTGCAGAGGGTAGTGTAGCAAAATCCATTGTACTGTAGTTCTAAGCTCTCCACATCTATGCTGCCCACCTTCACCAGTCTGCGCTGACCAGTATGGTCAAGTATTGAAAATTAATCACCCCACGATTCGGTAGTGGTACAACAGATAAGAGGGCTGCACTTGTGAACTTCATGGTAAGAAATATGCCCCGATTGAACACTGTATTCTTGAGGCACATTGGTCTGCTGCTTTTCACGATAACCTACTCTTGGTCGCCTCTTCATCTCGTCACCTGGATCCCAGGCCACCGTTCATAACTGCCCACGCTCTACGCACTCTCACACATCATAAGGGTTTTACTTTCGCGCTGCCCTGGGAGCCTGGCGATTCGAGTTCGATTCCCTGCTACGGCTAACATCAGAGTGATGTCTGAACCGGTTCTGGGTCCCTCCCCCCACTCTTCACCAACCCGTAGTGTCCAGGGTGGTTCAGTACGGTCAAACAAACCGTACTTTAAAAAGAACTGGCTTGTCAACGGGCTGTACGTTTAATTAATTCCGTATTTCCTGATTCTAAGTACTTTGATAATTGTCCATGCATAGTATGCTTGCAGTTGTGCGGAGGGGACTAATGGATATATATAGGAAACTGAGAACATATTCTACTGTGGCTAGTTGTGAGAAGGAACTGCAGTGTTGCACAAGTGAGTGTGAATACATCGGGGACGTGGATTATTGACATGAATACTCTAAAGCGTTCCCTCCGATTGGCTACAGGCCAGGCTTATGGACCTTTTGACACATTGAAACCCCTGACTTGGAACACATTACTACTGCACGTGGTAAATTCCCACAGGCAGAGTCGGATCCAGATATTTCCAAAGGCGGGGAGAGTGGGTGTGGGGGCAGGGGCCACTGCCCATGCGGAATACATGTGTACACAACGATGTATGACAGGGATGTACTGCATTGTTTTTAACATTTGCACTTACAGTACTGTAATCAATTTGCCAAATGGAAATCAATTTGTCAATTATTCATTACATTTTAAAAGGTACTGATGTAATGCATTGTATACATGAATGGTACGCCACCGCCTCACCAGGAACAGGATAGCTTTTCATTTGAAAGTGAAGCTGAATAACTGAATATCTGTGACCTGGTAAACACAATTGTTTGTAAGGGGGACCTTTTAGACGAGAAAGGCCAATTCCCACCAGGGGCCACATATGGGGAAATCCATTGCTTTGGGTGAAAGCATTCATACGACATATATAATTCACTGTACTGTGCTAAATGTTATCCACTGTGTTCGTAGATGGCTCTTGCCAAGTAACATTTGCCATTCCGGCAGCATTTTTTAAAGAGGTTGCACTCTGCTGATGGGAATCGGAAAATTGAAACTGGCCCAGAGTTTGCCTATGTAATAATTTGTCCAGAAAATCCACAGGCTTGATGGATGAGCGTGTTTATTTTATTATTACTTGGTGGTGAAACAGACTTTGTCCATTTATTGTTATTTTATAAAGTTCACTGCCGGCTTGTTTTTCTATTGTGCTTGCAACTTGCAAAAACATCCAAGGCCTGCGTTGGTTGTGCTGCTGTGCTTCGATGGGTCGATCTTTGCAGCATGTGCAGCCCCCGCCAGATACAACTCGAGAGAGACCCTCTAGACGGTATTTTCGGCCGACTCTTCCAACTTAGCCAGATGTGGTAGACCTGCCAATCGACTAACTGTCGTGCAACCATTTACACGACTGGTTGCACAGATTTGGGGGTATTTAAGAAAATATCCCATTTTTTCAACTACCAGCGCCAAGAAATCAAACGGGTGGCCTTTGCATTCTAAGTCCAATGCGGTAGCCATGAAACCGTGGCAACATTTGTTGTCCGCAAGTTTTGGAGAACAGGAAGAAGCTTATAATTGACAATAAATTCACCCTACAGTGCTATACACAACCTCCGTTGATAAGGTCAAGGCCGCAGACGGGAAGGCATATCAGATTTCAGCCTGAACACATTACGTGTTAAATGCTAAGCATACTCAACAGCAAGCTACAATACGAGTCGTGTTAGAATCATATACAACCGTACTGCCAAAAGTCTACATTTCATTGATTGGCCATGGCCACACTCAGCAATACCTCTCATTATTAAGACATTATGAAAACACCACTTTGTAAGAAGTCGACAGTGGTCGTCCAGTCGAGAGACTGGTTCCCACTAAGAGAATGTGAAACTTCCACCAGTGGCTCAAGGCCACCAATGGGAGATAAGTGGCACCCCCATTGCTCGTGCGGGCAGAGACACTGCGTGCTAATGCATCGTGGCAAAGCACACATGGTGCTAGGCTTGTACTTGTGTGAATCTGAGGTGTAGAGTAGGGCTACGAATCGCGTGATTACTTCGCTAAATAATGGAATGGGAGACCAACTGAGCCCCAATTGTGTCTTGTTTAAATTTGGCAATATTGCTTATCAGATTTTAATTTTCCTTAATCTTCATTTTCAAAACTTTGGTAACATCTTAAATTTCAATGTTTTGGTCAGATGGTTATGCTGCAGAATTTCACATGTAGCCCCTGTTGCAAAAAGGGACAAGCGCCCACACTCTGCTCATCATCATTCTGCACCTATGATTAGCACAGTTGGCTACTTACGGTGCGAAATAAGTTCAACATACGTTAATTCTGTCCGAGATCAGTGTCTGCACCACCCACGGTCCGTGTGTCTCGCCAGAGAACGGTTGCGAGTCGCACCTACCCTCAGCACGTCCTGCAGGATACAACCTGGAAAATGACAGATGTTATCGCAAGCGATGCAATATCCCACAATAAGCCTGCATGAAGTCTTGACTATTCAGAGATTTTGATCGTAAAGTTGGCATTTTCAA